GAGTGCGACAAATGTGTTTACATTAAAAACACTCCAGGTCATGAAGTCATTGTTTGTTTATATGTTGATGACATGTTGAAAATGAGGAAAAACATGGCAGATATAAATGCTACTAAGCGCATGTTGGCTAGTAAATTCGATATGAAAGCCTTAGGAGTTGCTGATGTGATCTTAGGAATCAGAATTCATAAGACTCCACAAGGTCTAGCATTATCACAGTCTCACTACATTGAAAAGGTACTTGACAAGTTCAAGTATTTGGGTTTCAAAATTGCCAAGACTCCAATTGACGTGGGTTATACACTTCAAAAGAATGAAGGTGAAAGTGACTCACAACTGGACTATGCAAGAGTATTGGGAAGTTTGATGTATATCATGAATTGTACGCGACCAGATATAGCATGTGCTATTAGTAAACTGAGTCGGTTTACAAGTAATCCCAATCACATACATTGGATGGCAATGAAACGAGTTTTGGGGTATCTCAAACATACCCAAAATTACGCTTTGCATTATAACAAATATCCCTCCGTGATCGAGGGATATAGTGATGCAAATTGGATCACTGGATCATCTGAAGTTAAATCCACGAGTGGATATGTTTTCACAATTGGGGGTGGAGCAGTGTCTTGGAAATCATCCAAACAAACGTGCATCGCCCGTTCTACAATGGAATCTGAATTCATAGCTTTAGATAAGGCCGGTGAAGAAGCTGAATGGCTCCGGAATTTCTTGGAAGATATTCCATTTTGGCCCAAACCTTTGGCACCTATTTGTATACATTGTGATAGTCAAGCGGCAATAGGCAGGGCAGGGAGCGTTATGTATAACGGAAAATCTCGTCATATATGATGGAGACACAATACCGTTAGACAACTACTCTCTAGTGGTGTTATCACAATTGACTACGTAAAGTCAAGAGATAACGTGTCGGATCCACTTACAAAAGGCCTATCTAGAGAGGCAGTTGAAAGATCATCAAAGAGAATGGGTTAAGGTCTAGGACAAGTCAGCATGGCGGTAACTCTACCTAGCAGACTGGAGATCCCACGAGCTAGGTTCAAAGAGATCAAACAAAGTTATGAATTACGGTTCAACATTGTCAAAGAGATCAAACAAAGTTATAAATGACGGTTCAAATAGGGAGTGAAATTCCCTATCGTTATCTATTTAAATGCCAAATATGCCAAAGAAAACGAGGCACGTGTTCAAGATGTTGATATTTGTACATTCATTTTCTCATTTGTCCAAAATAAATTAGAAAAGAACAAAAAATTAGAATTTGTGCTCTTGAAATGTCTGACATTCGTGTAATTATTAAAATATGCAATTAAGGTAAAGCTGAAAATTTAAAAGTTAATTTTTTAAAATATATAGTGCAATTATTTTTAGAACACATTAAATCCGAGCAACGAAAGCCCTAGAAATCGATAGGATATGAATTTATGTCCTATGGTATAGGCTATTTTTGCTCGTTAGGTCCCAAGAATCTAAATGATACAAACTTGTCAAGGTTGAGTCGAAACGCTTTATTTATAGAGTAAAGAATAAAATATCATATAAAATGAATCAGATGAATTATTATTGTTGCAACAAAAAAAAACAATATAATTGATTAGTTGTATTTAATTTTTGTTTTAACGCGCATTATTAATGAAACTAGTGAAGGTTGGCCTGTGCTGAGCACGGGCCCAATAACTGTATTATATGATGCGAGATTTTCTTTTGCAGTGTCTTTTTGTCTACCTGTTTATACGTTTTGTTCAATTTAAAGGTCATTAATAAGTTTTGTATTTTAATTTATGTTCGCAAAATATTAATATATGCAAGTAGTTACATGGCATATGATTTTTTTCTTCACTTGTTTTTATATTATATAAGTCTTTATATTTTGTACGTTCAAATTTCTCTATAAGAACATCGTTTGTTCCGTTCTATTTTTGCATTCTTAAATCGTTTGACTATTATACACCTATAAAAATATTTAATATTTAATATTTAAATCTTATTTGACTATAGATAAAAATTATCCAAAATATTAAACCTTCCATCTTTTTACATTTGAAAAATTGGCCGAATACAAAACATTACCAATTTCAACTTTTAATTTCTCATATTTCAAGTTCACACGAATTTTTGATGATTCAATTTCCTCGTTTGGACTTACAAATTTAATTAATTCTATGTCTCTAAAACCACTCACTATTTGGATGCAATCACATAAAGCACATGAATCTTATTGAAATAAAAGATATATTACCCGTAGCTTTTTTTATAAAGTTTCTTTAACTTTAAATATTATTTTCAACTACAACCAACTGAAATGTTCTTATCTCCGCTTGAAAAAAAAATAAAGTTTTTCAAAATTCATAATGTTTAAATTGAATAATATATTATGTATGCACATTTTGTAATTTCACAATATTTCAAATAATTAGTAAAGGTAGAATAATTTTATTATCTAACTGAAATTTGAAAACTAACTTAGAAAATAATTTATCAACGTAGAAATATTTTATTAATTTTTTAGCAAAATACCCAACTAATATATATTTTTAAAAAAATTAATAGAGAACATGGGGCACATTTGAATTTTCAATTCAATTAGTTTAAAAGCGTCTGGTATATTATAATTGATCATCCTTGATTCCTTTCGTATCTTATGCTAGCTATTTTATAAGTTTGTAATTTAGGATTTTGCCTTAATTCATTAAGATAAAATATTTTTTCTGTTTTTATGTTATTTATTTATTCTACTATTTTAATCATAATTTTTAATGAATAGAATGTTTATTTTATCGGATAAGTGTAAAGCTTTTTAACGATTCTAAAATCAACACATTACTCAACTTGATTATGACTTATAGTAGTTCATAATCCTTTATAGGGATTGAAGTTAAGCTGCATAAGTTTACTCGAAAAGAAGACACTAACTTTTTGAACACTAATCATTTGCAACGCTGCATGTCTTAATCATTTTCAACTAAAAATTTAAAGTGTAATATTTTCTTATAACCGATACTAAGAAATCTTTAATAATCTTAAGATCATTCATTTAAAGATGTAAAAAAAAAATTAAAATAAAGATGAACTGATTTAAACATATAAATTAGCTAATTAAGGGAGCATATGATTTAGAAATGAAAATGTAATATTGTTGCCGCTGGGATCTCCTTGTTTTCTCTTAATCCAATTATTATTATATTTCTTTAGTATTGGAATATTGAAAATTTTCTTTTTTATTTCTTTATATTCAAAGCTTTTAGTATTTTTTATGAGCTCTTCTCATTTATTTGTTACTATAACTAATATATATATATATATATATATATATACTAGTGAGAGTAGCCCGGGCTTTACCCGAGCCCAACGTGAACAAAGTTATACTATTGTAACAAAGGATATAGTGACAGATATCTCCAAGAAATGAGCTTGTGTAGAGAAATGGAACACTACTAAACTATTACATCTTATAAGAGAGAATGGTTTTTGATGTAAAATACTAACTTTACCATAAAATATATTATTTTGTGTACAATATTTATCAAAGACGAAAAAGTGAAGATTCCTTTACATAGTAATTCTCTGACTTCAAGAAGCAAGAAACAACAACTACAACATATTCTTTGTAGTAATAGCTTTGAGTAGTATGAACAAGACTCCATGATTTTGGTTACCAGCAAATTTGAGAAATCACCATCAACTAAGAAAGCATTGAGAAACTAATATAAGCCTACTAAATGATATGTTCCTGAGTCCTAAATCATGGCATAGCATATTACAGTGATTGTGGAAATACCTAATTTATACCTTAGTGTAAAAAATAGCTTTCCAGTCATCATTTTGATGTATAAAATTCTTGTGATCACTTCAATTTCTGCATCTTGAAATTTAGTGTGTTTTTGGCATATAGGTTCCAAAAGATTTTTTTAAAACTTTAGGTACCTATTGAAACCTATATGCCAAAATTTACTATTTGGCTAAAATAGGCGCATTTCAGAAAATTATACAAATATACTTGCTAAGACGGAAGAGAAGTGATTTAGCATATTAGATAATTTGATGGATTTTTATATCAAGTTGAGGTATCAATAACCTTGGCATAACTTATACGTTTAGCTAAAATTACGATAGTACCCTAATGAAGAACCAAATATTTATGATTCATGTCACAGAACAATGTTATTCCAGTATCATCGAATGAAATTAGCATGGTTTTTGAAATTTCATCATTTTCCAACATAGTAAAAATGTACACGGAACGACGAAAGCCAACAAAAGAGTTAAAAATAGCAAATGTAATGCTCAATAGATAACATCACTAATGTAATTCGGTTAATATTACTTTAACAAAACCAAGTAGGCTATGTAAAGGTTAGCACATAGCCAAGCAGACTATGTCTTTGGTTTCATTCCTTATATTCTTATGCAACGTTATGAGAACGTAAAGTTATATCAGGTATAGCGCGCGTACCCATCTGAGTTGGAAAACCATTATATCAATTATATCTATGGTAAATACAACAATACCCAGCAAGTTATTTTACCTTTATCCCATGTAGCTGAAGGAAGCAGTTAAATTGCAGGTCTGCACCTCCACTTGGTATTAGCTGTGGTTATAAAGGGAAGTATAAGCTATTTGCGAGATTAATCTTAAATGCTTAAATAAAAATTAATTAATCTAAAGTTTCAACGAATCTTTACAAACTAAATAACTCCACCAATATAAACTTCGTTGAATATATGTACGTAAAGAAAAAAATTATTTAAAAAAATTGAGCGGTGAAACACGCACTACCCATGTTTTGCCAGAAAAGTTTAGAAGAAAGTTATCTTACTACTATAGAGAGCACCTCCAGTGCTATAATCCCAAATGGCAGGTAAAGCATCCTAATTACATGATGATGATGAAAAACAATCCACATGAGACTTCAGGAAGAACTAATTATTAGCTAAAGTATGTCAAATGATTTTCAAGAAATGGTCTGTTCCAAGCTACTGTTACCTTCAAGTCCACTTATGTGATATTGGATCTAGCCAATTTTTTTTTTTTTTTTTTTTTTGCCAATTCATCCAGGATCTGCAACTTGCCTGTTCTCCTAACAATGCATTATCAATGTGCCATGAAATCTCCATAAGTTGTAATCCATGGTGCATTCTGCCTATAAAAATTAAATACAATTCTACGAGTTAAATACTTATGATGAAAGCTTGAGGATGAAAAGAGTCACAGTTTTCTTACCATGACAGCATCGACCTGCAAATATAAATTATAAGGTTCCAAAGTCAATTTGAGAGATCAAAGGCTACGAAAATATTCTTTACTTGCTTGGAAAAATATGAAACACAAAGTAAAAGCACAAAATGGTTACCAGTATGAAACATACTTAATCTTCAAAAATTTAACACTTGTAATAGTTAAATCACTTTGAGTTCTTTCATAAGAAGTTTCGACAAAAAGATAACAATATATTTAGATGTCACATACTATAAGATTCTTATAGGTGTTTCATGCGATAACATGCCCTTTTAAATAGCATACTTACTCTTATACTACAATCATGTAAAACAAATCATTACAATGCATTACCTATTTATGCGTATAAGAGACTTTCTATGCATTTAATAGCTTAGGCTTCTTCTATATGCAGCACAATTCTTTTTGGTGTATATACTAATCAAACTTTTTCTTTTATTAAATGAAAACAAACTAAAATGACGTATAGTCTAAAACCAAACATCATTTTGAAAGACAGACAAATATCACGGCATAATTTTTTCCTTGGCATTGAGAATCAAAAGTACACATGATCAAAGAAGTATAACACGTTAACCATCATTTTTTATGTAAGACACTAAATGAAACTTCCTTTTTACTCTTTTGTTTCTTCACTGTACATTTTAAAATTAATTCAAATGCTAAAAAGTAACTTTTATCTAATAGGATTGAAGCCATAGCCAAGAAAGATGGGAAGTTTAGAGATATGGTGAAATCTCTCTCCAATAAGTCTTATGTTTGTAGACGAATTGAACTTTGGATGCTTGTACAACAAAATTAAAAATTAAACTTTGGATGCCAATTGAATAGAAAATCTATAAATCCGTTGAAACCAAAATTTGTGCATAAAGGCCTTCTTAGTTCTACCAAGTCTTAGGGGCAAAAACGAACAACGATAAAAATTGGATAATTAATATTTTAACTACTAACAGATAAATAAAATATCCATATTTCACAATAACATTTAGTTGATAGCCCAGTGTCAAATTTCAAAATTACCTGAGCAATCAAGTGAGGCCATAAGGATTGAACAGAATTTACAGTCTGCAACTTTTTATGGCCATTATGAAGTTTAGATATTCTTATTTATATATAATTGATCAGAAGAAATGACAGCAAAAGCTATTTTGGTAAATTTAGACCACACATTTAAATCAGTTAAAGGTGTGAGCTAACATTTATTGAAACATCATAACAAGAAAAATTAGGTAGTTTTTTTCTGGCAATTTTTCAAACACTTCTAGTGCAAACCCAAATGCAGTTTATATAATAACAAACTCAAATCCATTTTTACTGCAGTTTGATAGAGGTTAAACAGATGAAAATTAAGACTAAGCCTGAAAAAGAGCAAGTTAAAGACGCACAAAAGCGAGCGCAACAACTTATCACCAATTAGCTTAAAATTTTAGACAAAAAAATCTTCTATACAAGTTCAAAATATGAGAATGAAACATTCTTCAGACTGAAAACAAACTGAATCTTAAATCTAAATAACGTCGATAGTCAGACCTTTATTGTATATGCGCCAAATCGAAAAAATTTGGAAAAAGTAGTCCACATATGTGCAAGCGGTAAAGTAAACTCGGAGATGTCAGAATTTCCCAACGGAGCAGCAGTGGTAACTATGAGAGTAAGCAGAGAGCAGTATAGCGACAAAAATTTTATGTTGTAGTAACCACGTGTCAAACATAGAAGAAAGCAGTAATACGTGTCTATAAGAGCTAATGTGTAATACCCTCTTGACCCATTTTACAACCGGATGCAGCTAACTTAAGAGCTGTCAAACTGTACTCCACGTCTTAGGCTGTAATTGCAATCACATTTTTATCCTTGGGCCAGGCAGACATGTTGACCATGAGCTGCCTGGTTATTCCCATTTATAGTATATATATATATATATATATAGCTATCACTTAATTATAATTTTTGAAGCTAAATTGAATTAGTTCAACTCAATATTTTAAAGTTAAATTTTAGATATTCAATAACTATACGAAAAATACTATAAGTTGTAATTTTTCTCATGTCAATATGATTACATTTTTTTATAATGTTGGTCAAACTTCACACAATTTGATTATCGGTAAGCGAAATGTGTTATTTAAATTGAAAAGTTGTAATTTTTCTCATGTCAATATGATTATATTTTTTTATAATATTGATCAAATATCACACAATTTGATTATCGGTAAGCGAAATGTGTTATCTAAATTAAAACGGATGAAGTAATATAGTATATTTTATTTATTGATTAATCTAAGCATGACAAATAAAAATAATATAATGTAATTATCTATATCGAGGAGTTAATTATTCTATTCAAAAGGCCCGTGAATAAACTTCAAATACACAAGCAGGACCCAAATATATAGTACTCCATATGAAAGGGTGCAATTGCCTTGACAAATGTGTAAGGCAGAGATGAGATATGATTTGAGTGGGGCCGGAATGTGGTGTCCACGTGAGAGTATAATGTTAAGACAGCAGATATTGTATTAAAAATGTGTAGTGATGGATGGTGACATAAGCAAAGGATTATTTAGTGAAGACACTTAAAATATATATACAGTAACTATAGTATGATTCTTTTTGACCAATTATACTACGCCATTTAAAGAAAATAACCAAACTATCCTTGATATCCCAAGCAGATATGTTGACCTGCTGCCTGCTTATTCCCTCTTCTATATAGTAAAAATAAAAATAAATTCACTATTAGGAAAATTAAAAATTAAATATTTTCAAGACCCTACAATTCGAGAATTTTCCCGATTAGATGAAATAATTTCATAGCTAAAGCAAGCAAAAGACAATCAACCGTTATCGAATAAGATGATAAATACATAGATAAATTACCCTACTTTAAGGGAGGTTAGAATGTAGGATTTTGATAATCTTGACACCTAGACCACTTTAGCAAACTGTTGTTGACATGTTAAATTGATTGGGTTTTTTTTAAATATTTTTTTTAACGTGTACTAAATTCCACTATATTTATCTTGACATGGTAAACTTATCAGTTATCACGCATTAGCTGACACCACATACTCGTGATGAAAGATGATACGATGAAAGTACTAAGTATTATTTACTGATAAAGTTTTTTATACCATTGTATAATTAATGGAGTAGTTACGACAATTAAACCGTGAAATAGCAAAGAAAGGCGGGAAAACATCTTCACATAGATATTCTCTAAGTCCGTTTATCATGAAACTGTAAAGTGATCAAAATTCATGACATTATCATATAGAGATTTTTATCTATTTATACTATATTATAAATTTATTAATTCTTTCTAAACAAGTTATCACTTAATTATATTAGCATATACAATTTACCATTTATATAAAATAGTGTATTAGACTTCAATCTTACCCAATTTTTCTCCCTCTTCTTCCTTCCCCAAGTTTGTATCAAATTGCGTCTGGAATACTGCGCTGGAAAAACTCATTGGTCGTCTTTCGTCTCTCCATCTTTTGCTCCGATCATATTCTTTCCCCTTCTATTTATCTTTTTAATTACAACTCTTGAATATGTCCCATGAAATAAGAATGGTGAAAGGGCATTTATCTGAGAATTCACCCGAATGCGGATAGCATTGAAGTACGCTGTTGAAGAGCTCTGGCTCTGGCAGAAATAACAGAACAGATAGAGAGAAGAGTAAAATGGAGAAGAAGAACCATTACTCCAATATCTTAAAGTATGAAAATGTACAACTCACTTTTAACAGTGTAAGTACTCCAACTTATAGAAATTAACCACTAACTACATTGCTACTTCACTAAGTAGTTATAACTACTACCTACTAGCTAACTGTACACTTAAATACATGGGACCCACAGTCCTCAACGCTCCCCCTCAAGTTGAGGGATGAAATACATTCTTCATTCCCAGTTTGCTTAGTAAGTAGTCATGTTGTGGTTTGCATAGTGCCTTTGTTAATAAGTCTGCAACTTGCTCTATTGTCCCTACATGTTTTGTTTGAATTAGTCCTTGCACAAGTTTCTCCCTTACAAAGTGACAATCAATATCTATATGTTTAGTTCTCTCATGAAAGATTGGATGTGCAACAATTTGGATGGCTGCTTTGCAGTCACAATGCAATGGCACAAGTAGTTTGACATCCACTCCTAGTTCTCCGAATAGTCCAACTAGCCACACAATTTTAGCTACTGTGGTTGTCATACTTCTAAATTCTGCCTCAGCTGAGCTCCTGGACACTGTCCCTTATTTTTTTGATTTCCAGGAGATCGGTGCACTACCAAACTTTACCACATATCCAGTAATTAATCTTCTAGACTCCACACATGCTCCCCAATCAGAATCACAGTAAGCTACAAGGTGTTTGCAGCTACCAGTAGGCATAAAGAGTCCAAGTCCTGGTGTGGACTTAATGTACCTTACTACTCTTCTTGCAATATCCATGTGAGAAACTTTAAGTGCATGCATATATTGACTGAGCATGTGTACTACAAAGGCTATGTCTAGCCTTGTCATGGTTAAGTACAATAATCTTCCTATCAACCTATGATAGCTGCCTTTATCTTCAAGTATTATATCTTCAAAAGCATTGTTCTTTACTTCTTGATCAAACTCAACAGCAGTGAGCTTATGATTAAACTCAAGAGGTGTGCACACTGGTTTTCCACCTGCTAGGCCAAGTTCAGAAATCAGTTCTAAGACATACTTTCTTTGGCACATCAAGATACCTCTATGAGATCATGAGAATTCAATTCCAAGAAAGTACTTCAGCTCTCCCAAATCCTTCATTTTGAATCTTTCCTGTAGCTCTTTTCTGACTTGTGTGATAAGATGTAGATTGTTGTCTGTGATCAACAAGTCATCCACATACACTAGAACAATTACCAGTTATGTCCCTATCTTCTTAGTAAAGAGGGAGTAGTCATAATGACTTTGTACAAATTCCATAACTAAAAGTGCTTCTGTCAGTTTGAGGTTCCATTGTCTAGGTGCCTGCTTCAGCCCATACAAGGACTTGTGCAATTTACACACCTTCTAACACTTTCCCTCACTTGAAATGCCATCTGGAATGTGTATGTAAACCTCCTCCACTAAGTCACCCTGCAAGAATGCATTATGTACATCCATTTGGAAAATATACCAACTGGAAGCAACAGCTATAACAACTACAGCTCTCACAGTAATCATTTTGGTTACTGGTGAGAAAGTTTCTGTGTAGTCTAACCCTTATTATTGGTTGTAGCCTTTAGCTACCAATCTGGACTTATACCTCTCCACCTCACTATTGGACATATACTTAACTTTGAATACCCATTTACACCCAATAGGAACTTTCCCTCGAGGCAGGTCTACTATGCACCATGTATTGTTATCCTCCAAAGCTGAGATTTCAGCTTGCATAGCTTCCACCCATTTGGGATCAACACAGGTTTCATTGAAGGAATTAGGTTTAACAATGGCAGAGTAAGCATCTAGAGAAGCTTGATAAGCAGGAGAGAGTTAGCCATAAGACATATCCTGTGAGGCTGGATATTGACAGATGGACTTCTTAGGTTGGACCACATAATTAATGAGCCACACAGGAGGTTTAGAGGGTCTTGAAGACCTCCTGAGTGTTGCAGAAGATGGTGAGTAGTTTGTCACGCCCCAAAACCGAGGAGTGCGACCGGTGCTCAACCGAGTGAACCCGACCGAGCAAGTCTGTTAGATTTCATTCTACCTAAATTCACTCGTGAATAAAGAGGAGATGTACTCCGTTAATCAAATACTGAGGAGATTTTATTAACCGCTTCCATTTCATTCCCATTAACAACATCATTCAATATTTCCAAAATAGTACGAGTTTATAGATTTAATGAAAAATATGTTGCCAAATACCAACAATTCTAATCCAATCCCCAACATCAAACCCTACCCACAACCTGTCTACAGAGCCTCTAAGTACAACTGAAGAATAATATGGAAATGCCGGCAATAAGACCCCGGCTATACCTCAACCATAATACATAAAAAAACAAAAGATACATGACCCCGGGATAAAGTGGGGCTTACCAAGTCAGCTGGGGAGAAGGTATACTGCTATCACTGATCAATGTCTCCTGCTGTGGAACCACATGTATCCATTTAAAGATGCAGTGCCCTCGGCAAAAGGGACGTTAGTACCGTCGAATAGTACTAGTATGAAAACTAAATACCAATTTAAGAATTTAGAAATACAAGATAATTATGATGAACCAGTGCGACAATAGAATAATATAGATAACCGTATCAACCATAGAAAGCTTATTAAAAGCTATCAACAACATTTATAGGATTTAAGACGAGATCCTCTATAACCATCTTCACACAAAGCGGCCCTGCCGCCTCACCCGATGTATGCAGGTAGAGGTGTACGTACAATACCACAACTCAAATCAAGTGGCCCTGTCGCCTCACCTCAATGTATGTGGGTGAATGTATAACCACATTACCAAGAACCTACACAAAGTGGTTATGTCGCTGCACCCCAATGTATGCGAGTGAAAATGCATCAACGATACCAATAGCAACATAAAGCGGCTATGCCGCCTCACCCCAATGTATGCTTGTGGTGGTGCCACAATAATACCAAAACCATACACAAAGCGGTCGTACCGCCTCACCCCAATGT